ACAGGGGATGTCAGAGCTGGGAGGGGCCTCAGAACAGGGGATGTCAGGGCTGGGAGGGGCCTCAGAACAGGGGATGTCAGGGCTGGGAGGGGCCTCAGAACAGGGGATGTCAGGGCTGGGAAGGGTCTTAGAACATAGACACACATAAAATGTCAGATCCAGAAAACACAACACAAATACCTTTTCACTGAGATCTCCTCTATCCTACAGTCTAACCCCAGGTTGCTGGGGGTAGGGGCTATTAGTCCTCCTTTACAGAGCAGGAATCTGAAGCCCAGAAAGGTCCTGGATTAACAGTTTAGATTAGAAGAAGGGCCTCGAGTCCATCTGACTACGCTTCATTACAGATAAGGAAACTGAGGGCCAAATGACTGGCCCAAGGCCACAGAAATAGTAAGTGGACTGGATCCTCAGCCAGGTCCTTTGATTCTATGGCCAGAATTTCCCCAACGGCCTTGGCTGCTTCCTCAGGTCTGCTGAGGACTCTTTCCACCAGGCCACTTTGAGGACTGGTAAAGGGAAAGGATCAGGGGTGGAGGGGAGGGGCGAGGAAAGAGAAGGGATTAAGGGACTCCAGTGGGAAGTCGGAGAAGTGAGTGGGTCTGTCAGAGAATGGTTCTGGCCTGTTGAGAGTGGAGAGGCAAGGGGCAGTTAGGTGGTGCAGCAGATAGAGCACTGGTCCTGGAGTCAGGAGGACCTGAGTTCAAATCCAGCCTCAGACCAAACACTTGACACTTACTAGCTGTGTGACCCTGGGCAAGTCACTTAACCCCAATCGCCAAAAAAAAAAAAAAGAGAGAGAGTGCAGAGGCAAGAGGAGAAGGGAAGCCTGTTTGGGAATGCCGAAGGTTCAGGGTTTAGGACGGTACCTTTTAAGGGTCACAGAGTTTGATAGAATACCAAGGAATCCCTGGGTTCAAATCTAACCTCAGAGATTTACTACCTGAGTAACTTTAAGCAGCTCACTTCCCTGCTCTGGGCCTCAGTTTCCTCATCTGTAAAAGTGGCCTCTGAGGTCCCTTCCAGCTCTGAACCCATGATCCTACAACAATTCTGAAACCTAAAAGGGCCTGGAACCCTATGGATTAAAAGGACACTGAGCCTTTTGGTGATAAGTGGGGAGATCCTGGCGCTATGAAGTACCCCATGCCTGCTCCTTGCTAAGGTAGTAACTGGTGGGCTCAGAGATCCTGTAGCTAAGCAGTAAGAGCCCTGTGCTGGGAGTCAGAAGGCCTGGGGTCTGGTCCTGGCTCCGCCATTCACTCACCATGTGACCTTGGACCAGTCACTGGCCCCTTCCAAGTGTCAGTTTCACACTATGGCAAATGAAAGTGTTGGACCAGATCTCTGAACCTGTTTGTTTAATGTTTTGACAAACGTACCTCAATATAATTGGTTTGTAATCTTATGTGTTTATTTTATGCACTTAAAACATTATTCTAAGGAGATCATAGGCTTCATCATACTGCCGAAAGAGTCCCCCCAAAATGGTTAAGAACCCCTGAAATAAGCTGTGGGCAAGTCACTTAACCCCGATTGCCTTGACAAAAAAAAAGAACCCCTGAAATAGATTTTCTCAAAGGTTCCTTCCAGCTATAAATCTGTGATCCTGACTAAGGATTCCTGGGATCATGATTCCACACTCTTCATTCTCTCTTTCCCGTTCTTTCTCTCAGAATAGTAATCAGGTCAACGCCATCATTGCCTCTGAAAAGCTCATGTTAATGGCCTGCCCTATTATTCCACGCATTGATGAAGGGCAGTGTTGCCTAGTGGGTAGCGTACAGGACCTGGAGTCAGGAAGACCTTGACTTGAATCTAAAACACTTATTATTTATATGACTCTGGACAAGTCATTAAAAAAAAACACTTTTCTGTGTCTCAATTTCCTCATCTGGACAAGGGAAAGGGCAAACTCAGTGGCCTCTAAAGTCCTTTCTGGCTCTAAATCTGTGATCCTATGGTACATCCCTGTGATTTCTCAAACTAAAATTCCCTTTCCTGGCCATCACACCTGATATGTGCTGTCTTCCACTACTAGAATGTAAGTTACCTGAGGGTAGAGGCTTGTCTCACTTTTGTATTGTGTGCCCAATAAATGCTTATTCATTCATTCATTCATTCATTCATTCATTCATTCATTCATTCATCTATCCATCCACCCATGCATCCATTCATTCGTTCGTTCATTCATTCATTCATCCATTCATCCATCCATCTATCCCTGGAAACTTAGGGGAAAGGGTGTATGTACGTCATTTTATTAAGGTTCATTGGTTGACTTTTGGGAACAATTCTGTTGAAATAAGGCAGCTCAGAATACTAGGAAGAGCCAGCAGGTGGCAGCATTGAACAGATACACTAGTACAGCTATACGCATATAGCTAGCTAGATATGGAGATACAAATGTATCATTGTATATGGGCACATAGAATGCTAGAGCTGGGAGGGGCCTTAGAATAGGGGATGTCAGAGCTCAGAGAGGCATTAGAATACAGAATGTTAGATCTGGAAGGGGCTTTAGAACAGAATACCAGAGCTAGGACAATGTTAAAGCTGAAATGGACCTTATAATCACAAAACTAGTAAATGTCTGAGGCTAGATTTGAACTCAGGTCTTCCTGACTTCAGATCCAATCCTCTCCCGCTGCACCTAGATCTAGGAGATCTAGAAGCTGTATGATGTGGTCATATGGGTTCTCTACCTGTGACTTATCCATATATTATGTTCACATCTTTTTTATTTCAGAATATATTCTCCACTCCCTTACCCAATGAACCATCCACTGTAACAAACACCAAAAAGATACACACACATACACATATACATATATACATACATATACACGTATGTATGTAGGTATGTATACTTATATATCCCTATACCTGTAGGTGAAGTATATCCCACATGTATATGATGAAGGAAAATCTTTGATTGTCACGTAATTTGCTACACTGTTTGGTTAAAATGACTGCTTTGACCGTCTGAGTTCTCTGGTGGTAAAAGCCAACACACTGGTGGGGTCTTCTGAATCAGGGTTTTGAGTGGCTGCTGACCCAAAGAATGTCCCGAACATTTATGGGGTAGTTTTGTGTTAGGTGGGACCTCAGGGCTATGTACATAAATAATTTTGCAAATTATAAAGCATTCGATAATGTCCATTGTATGCCCACTCACCCCAATCTTGCCTGTCTTGGCAGCCATCATCAGCGGTGAAAGGCCATCATTGTTGACCACAGCCTCCAGGTTGCTCTCAGAGAAGAGTTTGGCACACTTGATGAGCAAGAGATCGTACATCTTGGTGACAAACTTGGTGTTCTCTCGTGTGTTGTCAGCAATTGCGACCAGAGCATGCAGCACCGTGTTGCCCCGAGAGTCCTGGCGCCGCATGTCCGCCTTCTTGTGAGGGTTCTCCGTCAGGTAGTTCACAATGTGGGGTTGGTTGGTACAGGCAGCCAGGGACAAGGGCAGCTCACCTGGCGGGAGAGGGAAGAACAATGATTTGTGTTTGGGATGAGGGAGATGAGCAGGGTGGGACATGTCTCAGTCCGGCTGAGCGTCCCTCCAATTCTGCCCCTCTCCCACCTCTTCCTCAACTGGCCTCCTTCTTTACCGAAGTAGAAGTAGCCACCCTCATCTTTGGGCTGGAAAAAACGCCCACGAGCCTGTGCATGGACATCAGCGCCTTGGGCCACCAGGAGCTCCACGTAGTGTTTGCAGCGGCGTTCGATGGCGATATGCAGGGCCGTCTGACCTAAGACCAATGCGGATGTCACCAAGAAGCCCAGGACTTTAGCATCCCCTCATCTTCCCTTCCTTCCCACCCCCACAACAGGGAACCACAGACCCTGAGTACAGAGGAAGGGACCCTACAGGTCCAACCTCCCACCCAATGTAGGAATCCCCTGTACAGTGACGCTGTGGCACACGGCCATCCAGACTTTGCCTGAATCCCTCCATTGACGGGAAGCTCGCTACTCTGAACACCCTCCAATTGTGTCCTTGGACAGTTCTAATATTTTAAAAAGCAATCCCCTCATCATATTTATACTGTCAGACTCAGTTGTTGTTAATTTAATGTTGTTAAGTGTTGGTTAATTTTGCTAAACTGGCTTTTTTTCCCTTTCTTTTTTTAGTTTTTGTTACAGTGGATGGTTCATTGGGTAAGGGAGTGGGGAATGTATTCAGAAATAAAAGATGTGAACATAATAGATAGAAAGATAGAAATTTTTAATAAGTGCTACCTTATTTTGGATTGAAACCTGCCTCTCTACACCATTCATCCACCTATTCATTCATGCACCCAACACACATTTATTAAGTATTTAGTATGCATCAGGCGCTGTCCTGGGTACTGGGGGTTTATATTCCCCATTCTCTTCCAGACCCTTGCATATTCCCAGTGTGTGATGTCAGGGTGGGGAGGGGGCCTGGCCTGCACCTCTTTGGCACAGGGCTCCCAAGGTGGCAAGCCCCAGAGACAGACCAGCAGCCATGGTACTGGACAAATTCCATTCACCCACATTGTAGGATCATAGATTTGGGTCTGGAAGGGGCCTTGGAGGTCAGCTAGTCTGTACCCTTCGTTCAACAGATATGGAAACTGAGTCCCAAAGAGGTTAAGTGATTTGCCTGAGGTCATATAACGAGTGAGCAGCTGAGCCAAGATTGAAACATAAACCTTTGGATCACAAATCACACCTGTAACTTTCTGGACCAAAGAACCCTGGGACCCACTTGGTCCCTAGACACCACTCCCTTATCTATATGGTCTCCCTCTACTGGAATATAACCTTCTCAAAGAGAAGGCCCATCTTTTCTTCTTTTTTTTTTAAGGCAATTGGGGTTAAGTGACTTGCCCAGGGTCACACAGCTAGTAAGTGTCAAGTGTTTGGTCTGAGTCCAGATTTGAACGCAGGTCCTCCTGACTTCAGGGTCAGTGCTCTATCCACTGTGTCACTTAGCTACCCCTGTATCTTGCTTTTCTATCTGTGCCCTCATCACTTAGCATCACACTTGGTGCCAAGTGTTTAATTTCTTAATTAAAGTAAATGTTTTTTTCATTAATTCATTCGTGCATTCATGCACACATTCATTCATGTACACATTCATTCATGAATTCATTCATTCATGAATTCATTCATTCATTCAAATCCTTGCTGCCTGTTTGAACTGGATGAATTCACTTTCTTTGCCCTTTCAACCTATTCCTTTCCCCTCCTTCGAGATCCAGGAAGCGAGAAGAGCTGTTTCAGGGTAACCCAGAAAGTTTAGCGAGATAAATGGTCAAAGAAATTGGTACGTTGCCCCCAGCCCCTCCCTCTCTACCCAACTGGAGGATCCCTACCTCGGTAGTAGACATCTCGGAAGGGTGAGTTAATGAATTCCCGCATGTTGCCAGTGCGTTCAGCAATGTCCAGGAGCACTGGGATGGTGTCATTGCGTCCACCGCTCAGGTTCAACAGGGCCTTAGGCAGACACGTCTTCCCTGTGGAAGGTTCTGGAAAGGTAGAAGGGACCGAGGCCAGGCAGATAAGCAGATGTCCAGACGTTCCTGCCTTGCTGCCCCAGAGCTGGTGGGGTTGAATGGAATAAATCTCATGGTGGGGGAGGGGAAGGAGATCTAGAATCAAGGTCCAGCTCCGCCCCTCACTGGCTGTAGGCCCTTCAGCAAAACAGTCCACCCGTTGGAGTGGTCCAACCAATGGGGCTGAAGACGCCTGCCCAACCAACCTTATCAAAGGGAGTTAAGTGCTTTGGAAAGCAAATGGTACACAAATGCAGGTATTAATTAGCAGGGATAAATGGAAAGAGCTCTGATTTGGAAGTCAAGAGGCCTGAGTTCTAGTTCAGAGAATTAGCATCATAGATAGAAGGGCCTTTAGAGATCATCTCGTCCAACCCATACCCAAACAAGAATTCCCACTAGAAAATATCCAACAATTGGTCATCTAGCTTCAACTTTAGACCTCCAGGAAGGGGGAACCCACCACTGCCCAAGGCATCCCATTCTTTGTGTGTGCGCGTGTGTGTCCTGACATCAAATCTAAACCTGCCTTTTTACAATAACTATCACTGGTTGCTCCTGGCTCTGCCCTCTGGGGCCAAGCTGAGCCTCAGTTTCTAAGAAGCGTGGGCCCTGCCCAGGGATTGCTGGACTAGGGAGAACTGGGGGGACACGGGGGCCAAAGGCAGAAAAAATCAGGGAGGGGAAAAAAGAAGGAAAGGTCCAACCTAGAAAGCCTGGCCATCGCCACAGAAGGGAAGGCGTCAGCAGCCTCAAGCTTCAGGTCAGTCACTCCTGCTCTCATCACGTAGCCCCTTCCCACAGCTCACCCCGAAACTCCTCGTCTGTCAGGCGCTTCTTTTGGGTGAGAAGGAAGGAGAGTAGCCCGTCCAGGTCAGCAGTGGATCCCCGGGACACGATGTCGAAAAGAATGGGTCGGTTGAAGACTTTGAGGATAGGGGGTGGATCAGGAGCTGGGGCTTTGGGATTCTGGGGCTCCTTCCTACAAAGGGAAAATGGAAGGTTTTCTGAGCCCCTACAGAAGATGTCAGGGGGTCTCACTGCTCCCACACAGAGACTCCACCAACTTTGGCCTCCACAACAGGGGGTCTGTCCAGGGTGGTCTGAGTGAACAGCCAGAGAGGAAGGGATGGGGGGAAAAGAGAAAAACAGGAGGAGATCTAAATGGAAAGATGGGGTAGGGTGAAAGAGACCAAGACAAAGATGGAGAGATGGAGAAAGACTGATAAAGAGATTCAAAGAGACCCAGTAAGAGGAGAGGAAGAAAGCAGGGAGGAGGAAGAGAGAGAGAGAAGGAAGGAGAGAGAGGACAGAGAGAGGGGTGGGGGAACAGCACAGAAAGACAGAAGGAGAGACAGAAAGCTAGAGAAACAGACCTAAGTCAGTCAGAGCAATCATCATTTGGAGTTAGGAGACCCAGATTCTAATCCCAGTTCCACTACTTACTGACTGTGTCACCATGAACAACTAAATTCACTTCTCTAAGACTCAGTTTCTTTATCTGTAAAATGGAAATAAATCTACTTACACCACCACAACCCAGGATTAGTATCACTGAAATGGGGGGAGGGTATACTAGGCTGCATTGGCAGAAGCACAAGATTTGGTTCAAGATCCCAGCTCTGTGTGACCTTGGACAAGTTACTACCCTCTTTGGACCTCAGTTTACTTCTCTGTAAAATGAGGGAGTTGGACTAGATGGCTTCTGGAATCTCCTCCCACTATAGGAATATGATGATCTTATATAAAGCACAGGAGAGAGAGCGGGGTAGAGGAAGAGAGAATCAGACAGGAAGAGCCAGCCCCAGAGCTGGGAAGGGAAAAAGAAAGGGAAAAAGGAAGGAAGGAAGGAAGGAAGGAAGGAGGGAAAGAA